TTTAATTCGCATATAATTTGTTTCCGATACACGCACTTTCAAATTTTGTCTATTACGAACTCGACGATTAATTCCATCGTGGCCTATCCACTGATTGCTTCTCGCAGTCTTTATCGCGAAACAATTAGTTTAAGATTACATGAGTTAGTACGTTTCTATCAATGTGTAGATTAATTCGGTGTAATTTACTTTTTTATTTTTTTCTACAATTCTAAAAGTTATAAAGAGTAAAGACTACATTAAATCAAGATAAAAAAAAACAATTGATAGAAATGGACATTAGAAAGTTAACTTTTATCGCATAATTTGTACGGACATCCGGATATGCATTAGCTTCGTACTGCCATCACATTGACACATTTGTTTAATAATTATTAATTATTGCATCGCATAAGTTTATATTATTATGTTTGTTATATATAGATATATTGTGAGTAAAGCAATGTTAGTTATTGAAAGTGTGTCCTGAGATAGCACTCTCGGTTCCATAGACGGAGGATGATACTTATTGTCTATTTGATATTTTACGTAAACTTCCAAAATGACGATAACTAATAATAGTTCCAGCGATCGATGACAAAGAGCTCAGCAAATATCGCGTCATTTAATGCATTTAAGGGGAAGCGATTCGAAACAGGCGGTTCTCCTGAGAGGAATAAAAAATATGTCCATTCTATGCGCGATTATTTTCCGAAGCTAAGCGATAGATCGCTAGTTTGGCGTGTTATTTTGCATCCGCAGAGGCTACGACCTGTGAATAAATGGTTTTTGTTGAAATGATTAATTGTCGGAGTGTGTGAAAAATCCTGACGTCTGCATCTCTATATACTATAATGTAAATAATAACGAATATTGCCGAAAAGAAATATCTGCTTCTCCATCTGTTGCATACCACTTTTTTGGAGATTTCTTCAGTTTTATATTAATTGAGAACGTGGATTATAATATGTTTGAACATCATCTGAGCGTAAGTACGATTACAGAATGAATATTAACAAATATTCTTTTTTTCACATATATTTTCTTCGAAGATATAAACGTGTCATCAGAATGTATTTAGACTTTATGTAAATTTATTTAAAAATGGCAGAGCTTAAAAGAACTATTATTCATCTTATGAAATTATCTTAATCTATTTTACATTAACAGGTACATAATATAATATACATATGTATATACGCACATTACATTATAGTACACGTTTACAACTACTGTACCAACTTTCTGTGACTCGTCAATTTTTGTTCTCAGTCCACGCGATTTATATTTGTTTAGGACTATCGACCGTGCTACGCGTAATTCCAAACAAACAATATGTTAAAATAACACTACAGGTCATTTAGCTGCATTCTTTTTTTACATTTTCATCTCTTAATATATATTGAAAAATATATATATTTAAAAAAAGAGGAAATAAAAAAAATGTGATAAGTGCAGCTGAAAGTTACAGGTCTAGTAATGGTTACTTAAGTATAATAAAGATTATTCCATGCGTTGTTCCTTCTGTTGATGTCCACCGTATCTTCTTTGTAATTCTTCTTCCATTGCCTGCAGTTGTTCTCTACTCTGTTCCTGCGTCATCTGTTCCATTAGCTCGTGATTATAAGTAGAGTGTAACATCAGAGCTAATACACCAGCTCGCGTCGCCATGTTCGACCGGATCTGCCTCTCTTGCTCCACGAGCTCATCGATCTTCAACCACTGCCTCACTCTCTCCATGTCGATCTCTGCTCGTCGTAATTTCTCCCACATGTAGTGCTTTACGCAGCTCTTTTTAGGCGCGCGACAGAATTCGCCCGTGGCATCGAAGACGTTCGTGACTAATGGACAACCGCATACTTCAGCGTCGCCAATTTTCGGATCCTTACAGTGTTCGGGACAGAGAACACGCAGCCTTTTGCAATAAGTTCTGTTTCCAGGATTGTAGAAGTCGCAGAACATCACCTGGCCCTCGATGCGTGTTTTAAAAATCGAGCCGAAGGACGCTTGCGATTCGTACTGCAAATTACAATCTGAATAAGCACTTTGATCTCGAGAAAAAAAAAGAGAAATTCATTCTATAGAATAAACTATAAAACTTATGAACTAAAGTGAGACTCACTAACTAAATGATAAATATACATACAATATTCTAAGTTTCTGTAAATGCTCCCATTTATGAACTCAACTTTAGAACCATTTAGGAACTCGTAAAGCCAAATAATCGACAATTTCCTATAACTTGTAATACCTTATTGAAACATTTTTCCATATGTTTAATGGCGGTTCTTGAGTTGACTTCGTGGCCGCACGTTATACAGTACATGCTGCTCTCTGTGTCGTCATTGTCATCCACTTCAGCTTGTGGATCGATGGACGCGTGCTTCGCACGTTCGACAATACGGTCTAATTCGATGTGTCTCTTTTCTAATTCTTGCAATATTCTACGGACATCATGTTGCTGCTTTCTCACGGTTTCCAGAGCGCGTCTGTTATTTTGCTCCGCGATGCATGTGGTCAACGACCATTCCTGTATTCGCTGCGGCAGCACTTGATAGATTCTACTCGTTGCCAGCTTCAAACCGCAATCGTCAGAGCAATACTTGCTACCGGGTCGCGATTGTTTCGTGCATGTGGGTCCATAACAATGGCGCGGTGGTTCCAAATACTCGTTCCTCTCGTTACTCGAATCCCTCTTCCGTCTCTTGGTTAATTTCGTTCCCTTATTGAGACTTTTGGACGGTTTTAGCGGATCACCTACTACACGGCAAGTACGTTGAATACATCTGAGCTTCAGTCGTACCGAAGGTCCGAATTTCTTCAGATGCCTATACGTATGAAATCCAAAAAGATTAATTTTGTAAGAAAAACTGTTTCGCACAAATGATGACTTTGTCAATCAGTCTTTTATTATGTTACCTGCAAGCGTCACATTTGCCACAATTTTCTGTACGTAGACATCCTGTACACTCTCCACAGCGTTTGGAGGATTTTTTTTCTACTTTAGGACCCCATGGCGCGTCATATTCGTATCGATGCCCTCTTTCCTTCTCTTTGTATTTTCTATGTTTCCTGTCATCTTGATCAATCCTACGTGGTTTGTATCGTGTTATCAATGTTGGATCTTCTTCTCTACAGCGCTGAATATAATAATTATTTTACATTAAACTGCCTTTCATTATTATTTTAAAAAATTCGCTTATATAGAAATCATTCATTCACTTACAACACAGAAAAATTGTTTTATATGTTTTGCTTCTTTTTCGGTTATGTTTATGCAATCACCATGGTACCATTCTTCACATGCATCACATCCTCTGAAATAATAAAACATGTAAGATTCATAATCTTGCCTTAAATTAGACAAAAATAATTCTGGACATTGATTTCTCTGAACAATTTTACTCACATCATAAAGCGAGAACTGTCGGAGCTTCTACAAATACAATATGCTTGACCGTCCTGTTTCAATAACGTTGCGATTTTGCTTTTCCTCTCTGGCAGCATAAACTGCTTCGCTATTTCTTCTTTCTGTACATAATACAAATTAAAGATCAATCCAAATATTTTTTTTTAGTAAACAAAGAGGTTAGACGGCATTTCAGTTGTAACCAGTTGTTATAAACCAGAAAACTTGTATAAAATAAATAATACTATTGTAATTTATTTATATAGCAATGCTTTCGTTTACAAAACTAGCAAAAAATTGTATTTTATTTAATATTCAGCTGCATATACACATTTTAATTCTCACCGACAAACTGTGCTGTCTTTTATCAGCCATGGTGAAGTGAATCCGAAATAACACAAGAAAAATAATTTATATCGTTTTTATGATATTAATATTAATATACACGTTTCATTTATATGTACAATTTATATATAAGGAAAAACGTACATTTCACTGATTATATAAAAAAAACAAGCGATCAATCTCATCGCCATGTTGATTAAAAGGTAATGTCGATATATGGCACGGTTGATATTACAGAAGAAATTTTAAAATTTTCAAAATGTAATTAAAATGTATTTAAAAAATATAAGGAACAAAAAGTTCTAAGAATAATAAACCTGTTATAGGTCGTAATCATATTATAGATTGTCAATTATGATTGCTGATTGTCGGTTCTATTTTAGCCAATGCTGCAGCTAATGCAAGTAGCTTTAAGGTGCGTTCACATGTAAGTGTTAGGCATCAAGCAATGGAAGCAGCAATCAATTAGCTGGCGATGCGAGCAAAAATATTTTTTACATCATTGTAAAAATCACCTCGTTGATTAATTGCTGCTTCTATTGCTTGAAACTTGATGCACCTTTATGCACCGTTTCAGCATTAAATCTATAGATCTTCTCCTCTTGGGTAGACCTGCATCATGGATAAATATAATATAGAAATTATGTTAGCCGAAAGTTACCTTCGAAGTCTAGATGTTTACTAGACTCTTCTTATATTCGTCGTCAGGATGTACTCAAAGCTTAACATCTTCAAGCCAGCACCTCCTCAGCAAACGAGAAGGGATTGAAATGAATTGGATTCAGATTTTCAGAAATATTGATTGATTTACGAATATTAAAATGAATGCTTTTCAATTCTGAATACATTTTTATTCATTTATAGGAATTGTATGGAGCATATCTCTATGCTTTTCAATCTAAAAATAATATTAGCTTTTTCTGTGCACAACACACACATTGTGAATACTGTTCAAAATTTTAAATAGGAAATGCAGTTTCAATCTAATTGCATCTAATTGAACCCAATTGAATCTAATTAAATCCAAAAAAAATATTCGCTATTTAAAATATGCATTTGGATAAAAAAAATTTCGATCTATTTTAATTCCATTCTTGTTTGCTGGATTTTTAACGTCAAGCATCTAAATTTATATATAGCTTAAGCTCTAGGTGTCCGTGGATCGTACATTTTTGACATTCTTTGAGGATATTATAAATTTGGCTTGGCGTCGAAGAAATGACAAGATCTAAACTACTTCACAATTATGAAATGTAAAGATTTTATTTTCTTTCATAAAAAGTTAAATGAATTACAAATAATAAAATTTAAACATCGTTAGAACTTTTTGCGAAAGTGTAAAGAAAAAGAATTTATTTATATTATACATATAAAATATCAAATAATAGTATAAAATATTAAATGATTTTTTATTTTTTAAAATTTACGTTTGAAATAAAAAAATAAAATTGCCAGTGTGAAAAGACTGTCATATGCTTGCAATATCTTATATTTGTTAGAAACTATACAACAACAATTATATCACAGGAATATATTCTAAAGTACAACGTACGCGAGTGACACAGGCCCGCGTAGTTTCATTCTCATAACAAAGACGCGCGAATCAAAAATACTTTAAGAATCGCCATAACAGATTCGTATCAAAGACTTCTTTGCGGCGCGTTTCTTTTTAAAAAAATTCTCCTATGATCGACATTCGTTGTAGGAATGGTTGAGTTTGACAGGACAAAATCTGATAATTCTGCCTCGCTGTAACATTGGTCGGATAAAGATTCCCACGTCTGATGTTCTCCAGCATTATTTGTGGTTCGAATCTGGCCTTAACGGGACTTGGTGTGGTGTTCCGTCGTGTCCCATCCTCCGTCGCAAGTCCAGGAGCAGAGTATTGTCCGTTGGACAATATTGGGAGTTCAAAATTATCGGAACCATCGGTACCGTCGCTGTCGTCGGTTTTGTAGATCATTGACGAAGGTGGAAGAACCTGCGTCGTCGACAATCGGATTTCGCTCCGATTCGATTTTTCGGTTTCCTCGTCTCTGACGTTTTCATGTCCGATGGAATCCGACGAATCCGTTGACGAGATGTTTGACGAAACGCTCTCGTTGAAAACATCCTTCTTCTCGTTTACAGAATAATGCCTGATCTCGGAGAGCTTCGTAATCGTGATTGGCAACACGTCTGGATTCTTGCTAGAGACACCCGTTTCAGAATAAAGCTCGTTTGGTGAGGCATTGTCCATCAGTGCATCTCTCATCGGGACGAATCTCCTCAGGATCGACCTCTCTTCCGGGAAGATCCCCTGCGCTGGCCGACAACAATAGAGAGCACCAGGATCGATTGGATGAGCTTCAGTGTTGAAGATATATCCGCCGGCATCCACCACACACTGGCCCCATTGAGTGTCGATTATCTCGCCTTCAGAACCAGTATTGTGAATAAAGTTGTCGGTGTCGAAAAGAAGGTACAGGTACTTGGTGGTCTCCGCGAGGAAGAAAGATTCCATTCGGTCTGCTTTACGATGGTCCCGGACGTCATTGATGGTCGCATAACCACATGTGGTTTTCGCGCTGTGTTGCAGACTCCTCAGGATGTCCACTCCTACTTGGATTAAATACGGATCTCTGGTTGCTCTGTAAAGATACATGACAGATTCTATAAGCTCTGGCCTCAATGGATAACCTTCCCTGTTGGTCCCTGCCTCGGCCTGTGGTATATTGTAAAATTCTGGGGTAAATCCAAATTGCTTCCACACACGATGGTAATTGTGTAAGGATTTCATCGCGTCGCCAATCTCGCCAAAGAGACTCAGCACGCCGGGCCAATACGCGTCCAGAGATTGAAAGACTGGTAGAGTCACTTGACCCTTGGTCATGGAGACCCACAAATGCCAGTCTTCTCGTCGAATGTATTTCTCTATAGCCTGTTTATGCTCCTGGAATATCGAGGCCAGCAGGGGATCCTGAAAGAGCAGTGTACCCTTTGCCAGGTACTCGAAGTAAGAGTCTATTCCGGCGCCTATACCGGAATCCTGAGCGGTCCAGTGGCCGGTTAGGACGTCTATATGATTACCAACTAGGCCAATGCTGGATTTGTAATAGTGCAGCGCCTTTATAGCATTCATGGCCACCTCCTCGTACAGTGGATCACCGGTCAGTCTGGAGAGAGTGCCAAATTCCAGCAGGAAGGTACCAATGCCAGCGGTGCATGTGATACTGGTCTCACCTTCCGGTACTCCGTACTTGAGATTAACTGTGCCGTATGGCATCCCCGTGGGCGTATCAAACGCGGCGATCAATCTCTTGGCCATGTCCTCGGCAAGGCGTAGCAGCGGGCCGTTGCAGGGCCAGCCGGGTTCCAGCTTGACACCGGCTCTACGTGACAACAGATGAGCGCTCAGCAACCCGCCGACCACTCGGATATTAGTCTCGAACACCGACACGTTGATGTTAGCCTCAAAGTTTGTCCTCGTGCCGATCAGCTCGGCTACGCGACGGAACTCGGAGAAGTTACCCATAACCGCGAGAGTGTCCAGAGCATCGATCAAGGTTAGGGAGAAGCTGCCCCATGTGTCGAAGCCATCGCAGCTCAGCGAGCGCAGTTCATCATACGGATAGGCGTGCGTCAAGTAGCCGGAGTAGGCATAATCGAACATGGATCGTACCTCCTCCCGCAGGCTGATCAGATCCTTCTTACTGTATTCCCGAAATCCGCTGACCAGGATCAAGAAGCCGAAGATCGAGCCTACTCTGAAGAGGATCATCGCTGCTGCTTAACCGTCCGTGGCCTCTTATCTGTCATCACTGTGCATCGTCGCGTCTTCGACGACGTCAACAATACGCCGAGTCTCTCGTGATGAGGCTCGAGCGCCCCGCGTTCGCCACGTAATCAAAATAATCCCGCCGCTGCTCGCTGTAAACATCGCGTTGGTCGCGTTGTTCCGCGCGACGTCAACCTAACCTAACCTACAAATCTGCACCGCGAGCTTGTCCTGCACGTAGAAGAGCTGTACGCGCGCGCACGATCGCGCGCGATGCAAAATCTGATTCTCGTGTTCCATTACTCCCGTTTCGATTGCAGGAACTAAAGGAGAACAAACGTGTGATCGTCGAGCACTGTCCGCGACGCTTGAAACCTTCGAAACTCTCCGTTTGCATCCCTTGGTTGATACAGCGTGACATAACCAAAGCGACCGAAAGAGGGTCTGCAAGTATTTTGAACTTGTTAAGACAAAACAATAGGAAAAAGTCAGAATCATTTATAACTTTAAGAAATTAGGGAGAATAATCTGAGAATAATAACATATTCAAAGTTCAAGTATCATATAATTTCAAGTATCATATAAAAAAAGAGGTTAAAGGAGCAAAAGGAGGCTACCAAGCCTAATTTCAAGAACTGTCAAAAGAGACTTCACATTAAAGATAATACGTCAGTTTGATGCAAAGGAAAGAATAATATAACATAAGAATAGTCAAAGAAATAATCTAAATGTAAAGGTATGCGATAATTCTTTATATAAAAAAAAAGGACACGTACGTTGAAACACGACGTTCGCGAGGACATGGAGCTAGAAATGCTACTGCGGAATCACGCTTCAGCAAAGAAATGTACGTATATGCCTTTGTCTTTTAATAAAAACAGCATTTCTTCTAAAACATATGTGTATCTTTTAATGATGAATTCGGTCACTTGCACTATATTGAATTAATACATATTAAAGACTGATTTATAGAAAGAGAAAGAAGAATTTAATTGAAGAATCTAATGTTTGTATTTATACTCTCTCTTTCATAGTCAGACCTTATATTTAAGGCTTCCTTAAATTTATCTTTAGATATTCAGTGGCCAATAAAATAATTCGTACAGCATCTGAAGATAAAATTTAAGCCTTAAATATAAGGCCTGACTATGAATACCGATATAAATGCGATTAATATGCTATAATAAATTTTAATAATGAAATAATACATGCATACTCTTAAATAACATGACAATAATGAATGTTTAATCGACTTTTAGAAATAGGTAGGTTTAAAAATACGTAAGTTGATAGACGAGATGCTCAAAATATCTCAAAAAAGTTTTTAATTTTATAGTTATCTTTTTTATTATACTACAATTAAATTTACATTATATATAATTATATTCTTATGAGAAGAATATAAAAATTAATGTACTTAAGTCTTCTGGACAATAATTTTTATTTTCCTTTTCAAGAACAAGAAAACTATATCTAAAGTTCTATGATCACCTTACCTATCCATACTAAAAGTTAAAATATTTATATGTTTTCACATTTAACTTGTTGATTTCATGTATAGCAAGAATTTAGAAATATAATACTTTTAGAATATAATATATATATATATAGCTAGTATAATGCAAATAACCATTATAAATAAAAAAAATGCCTTGCTTATTTGTTTCAATGAATATCATGAGACATACTATTACAGCTGATGTGAATTCTCAAGAAGATGAAAAAAAGGAAGACGAATACTTTCAGAAGATGTATCAGCAGTGGAAAGGTGTGAAGACTAAAAATGATTGCACTTATAAAGTCATACCAAAATTCTATTTCAAGGTATTATTTGTATCCTGTAGACTTGAACTTTGAAGTATATTTCTGTTATATGTTATAAAAAATACTGTTTTAGTTGCCGAAAGAAGATGAGATTCTACCACAAAAATTACGTGAGGAAACACGCGCCTTATTCCTACAAAGACGTTCTAGACAATTACTTGATAATCACGAATTGAAAGCACTCTGGGTTTTGTTGGACAAACATCACAGCCCGCCTTTGTCAGGAGACGAGCAATTAATTAATTATGAGGACTTTAAGAAAGTAGGCAAACTGGCAGGAGCAAAATGCAGTCCGTATTTTACTGCAGTTGTTTTTGCTAAACTACAGCAAGGAGATCTACATGGTAGAATTAGCATAATGGCATTATTCAATTATGTCATGCGAAAAGTTTGGTTACATCAAACAAGGATTGGATTATCTTTATATGATATTACAGGACAGGGTTATCTCAGAGAGTCGGTGAGTCTATAATCTAAAATGTTTTATTATTTGCAGTATACTATATTTTTATTTCAGATAAAGAGAAATGTACTTTTTGATATGAAATTGTTACAAAAAAGAATCAAATTTTCATAGAAAACAGATTTCTTCATGAAACATTTCTACAGCGAATATTAAAATAAAATCAAAATATTTCATCCTCAGTTGTAAAAATACATTGAAAAAAGAAATATTAATGTACAATATACGATATATGAGATTACAAAGAGAATGCTAACTAAAATTGTTACAGATTGAAGCTTTAAATTTTTTCCTGAATAAAGAAAACAGTATTTATTTTTTAATTTTCTAAATATCTCAGATTAGATTTTTATAAGTGAAATCTTAATAAATACATCTTAATAGTACATTCTTTTAATTCACTTATTTTCAGGATTTGGAAAATTATATCTTAGAACTGATACCAACATTGCCACAACTTGAAGGCTTGGAAAAGTCCTTCCATTCGTTTTACGTGTGCACAGCCGTCAGGAAATTCTTGTTTTTCTTAGACCCGCTTCGAACCGGAAGAGTTCGTATTCAGGATATTTTAGCCTGTAGCTTTTTAGACGATCTTCTAGAATTGAGAGACGAGGATTTGCCGAAAGATTTGCAAGAAGCCAATTGGTTCTCTGCGCCTTCAGCCCTTAAAGTTTACGGACAATATCTTAATCTGGACAGAGATCACAATGGAATGTTGAATAAAGAGGAACTCGCTGGGTAATAAATTTAAAATGTTATGCCATATAGTGTTATATTAATACATGTTAAAAATATAATTGTTTTATTAACAGATATGGCACTGGTACTCTAACCGGTGTTTTTCTCGAACGAGTATTTCAAGAATGTCTCACCTATGAAGGCGAGATGGATTATAAAACGTATTTGGATTTCGTTTTAGCATTAGAGAATCGGCACGAACCTCAAAGTCTTCATTACCTCTTTCGAATTCTCGACATTAACAATCGTGGTTACTTGGATACTTTTTGTCTGAATTATTTTTTTAGGGTATTATATTTATATTATAATATAAATTTTTTTACATTTTATTTTTTTCTGAATCACGAAGTGAAAAACGCTAAAATATCATTTTCTAGGCGATACAAGAACAAATGACGATGCATGGTCAAGAGCCTGTTAGTTTTGAAGATGTTAAAGATGAGATATTCGATATGGTGAAGCCAGCAGATCCGTGTAAAATTACGCTGCAGGATTTACTGTCTTGGTAAGGAGATATTAAATATATTATGTGTGTGATGAAAATGCGTAACTAAAATTGTAACTAAAATGTTCTAATTGCAAAAGTGGACAAGGGGACACAATGGTCAGTATCCTGATCGAATTCCACGGTTTTTGGGCATACGAAAATCGCGAAGCTATGGCGGCTGATACTGGGGATGAGTCGTCCCATGTATGACGAAGCACTTCCCATCCAAGAGTACGAGATAAACGTCCCGAGATAAATAATGCACGACTGGACATTAACACTTAATGTGTTTAACACGATATGGTGATGATACGCATTTTGTAGTAACAAAATTTTTATACTTTTTATTATGTGCCAGAACATGGCAATCATCGTCACATGTATAACATTTTAGAATTAATATATTCTATATTTATTTTTAAAATATTTCTTAATTAATTTCTAAACAAAACAAAAAATCGCTTACTTTTTTGCTTAGCAATATATAGAAATATTTGAAACGACAACAGTTACGAACAAAATTATAAGGATGACATGCTTAAAGTATATATATTTTTTTACAATATGATTAACATCTTGAGTTCATAGCGTCTTTTTCAAAATTCATACAAAATCTAAATCGTATATAGAAATAATTTAATATACTAATGATACATAATAATGATACATACAGTCGCTCATAGTAAACTACGTCAAGAGACCAAAACAGATAGACTGATCTTTATATTTCATCTTTGTGCGGATGGTCTTGTTAAGTATCTTCAAAAAATCTCAAAACTTTCGTCATCAAACAATAAAATAAAATTGATAGAAGATTCATCATTAATCAGTGAAAATCGTGAGAATAATACATCTAAATTGAAATAGTCTTCTATCACGAATAAATATCCACATTTCAATCTGACTAAAATTTTTTTGGTTTCGAGAAATTTCGAAAGAAATTTCTATGGACCAATTACGTGATTTTAAATCGTGTTAGGGTGCTCTTTTATTTGTTTCTGCCATACAACGATAAAGGACAGAGAGATTCTCGGATCTCTTTATCTTGTAGCTAATCAGACTTGCTAATAAAAAACGTACAAATGAAATAGCGACCTTACACAGAGTCAGTGGAATCGCACAGTCGTATCAGTAGCGTATTATTAAATTGAAGTAATCTATTTAAAGAGCCCTAGCCTAAGAATCGGAGAATAAGAACAAATTAATATTTTCTCTTTTAAAAAAAAAAGTTTAGAGCTTTAGCTTTCCATGAAAGTTTCAATTAGCATTCTCTCCAGAAACATCCTTCGCGTACTTTTTCTCAATCCATCCTTTTATTCCCTGAAAAAAAGTTTGGAGCATGAAACATATATTTTCAATATTTTATTATTTCGACATTTGCAAAAATTCAATTAACGACTTTGCGTCTGCCTACAACAAATTCATTTTTTTCTTTCCAAAATGTTTATTATTTATCAAAGAGCGTTGTGTATTTTATTTTAAAAAAATATGTTATTTAAAAAAAAATTGTTATTATACAACATCGAAATACAAATTTCTTTGTTAACCGATTGAATTAAATCGTTAACCGTTTACAGATTGAAACGTGTAATTTCTACTTTAATTTCTCTTTAAAAATTTTCTTTTTTATTTACATGAAAATAAAAAGATTTTAATTACTTTGTTAATGGGCGGGGAGAAATTCGTGGCTACGTCACTGCGACGCAGCGTCTATCGCGTCTTTTTCGCGTCTCTCTTCACATCGTTCGCAACAGTTCACGATAGTGTACAGTATGGAGTCTGGGTCAGCTTGGATTTGGCTTCGACATTCGTAATTCGATCTCGACTCACACGAAACAAGCAAGGTTTGTTATCGTTACACCAGCTTCAAAGACGCTTCTTGATAATCACATCTAATATTTAGTCCATTCTGCAGTCAGCCTTTCATATCCCTGATAAAAAAAAGTTGATAGAGGACGATAGAAAAAAATCCTATTGTTTTGAATATGGAATCTGATTCATGAATTCATTAATTTGAATCAGATCTTACACAATTGTTTGCGAATCTTCGTTTCTGTCATCTGTTTGCGAAGTGAAAGGCCGCGTTTGGCGCGCATTTTTCGATGCATCGATTTTACGCGTTTGATATCAGCCGCAAGCCCGCGAGAGAACGGGTTGGAGGAATCAGCGAGTAAACTGTCATTCCGCCCACTCCTCTATACTCCATTGCTCCCCTACGATTCCCTACTCCCTGTAGTCTGTTGTAATCCCTATAACCCCCACGTCGTAGCCGCGCACTTCCCCTTTCCTCACCGCGTCGCCTTCCCCCACGCCAAGCTCCCCACTCCTCGTAGTTTCTCGTCAGTATGGCGCCCGTGTTTAAATTCAACGGTTGGAAATAAAGGCTACTCCCGTTGTGTTGCAGAGCGTAAAGATCGTTCCGATCTTCGGTGTCTTTTTAAAAATTTTCACATCGGCGGTGGCGATTGCATAACAAAATTTCAAGCGAGAATCGACAAGCTTTGGACACATAATCACGCCAATCCAGAAACAATGGAGCCCTTCGTCCAGGTGAGGATCTTGCCTTTTTATTTGTCTTCTTGTTAAGATAGATGCCTTACGATAGGAGAAATACTAGCACCTACCGTGACGTAGTTATGATTGTATTTCACGGATTGTATTTCACGATTTATACTTGTATGTAAATTCTCTTTTATTGCTCATTATTTATTAATTAATGAAAATTTTTACGTATTTTTGAGAGGCATGACTATGATGACCATATGTCCTTTAACTGTTCTTTAAATTTATTTGTTTGTTCATAACTCAATTTTTCTTATTTCTAATTTTGTCCTTTATTGTCCTTCATTTTGACATTACGGAAAATTCTTTTCTAAGTGTGAGAAAATTCAACTTAAAGTTGAAACATTTAAAGCTTGCATTTACATGAAATGCAATTTTGAAATAAATTATTTATAAATTTATGATTTTTTTTTTAAATAATGATGTAATTTAAAAACATACATTCGTCAGAAAAGAATCATTAAAAGCCTTCTTTAATATTATTTTATTAAAAAAATATACATATAATACATAAATATAATATAATAAAAATATGTTATAAGTGTATAATATATAAGTACAATTTGTTTTTGTTAATTATATTTTTTAATTTTTTAAATTAAATTTATTCAAACTAATTTTTATTTTGAATCTGAATTTTATCATTTCAGATTAATTTGTTCCAATACAGTCGAATTGATTATATTGTGCAATACAATTTTTATAGCACAGGTTCTTGACAGTCACAAACTGGTACATATGAAAACATGTAGGAACAAAGCCCTAAAATTTTCGGATTTGTTCTTTATTTTTTTAAGAAAATATGTTCATTGTAGGCATGATATTAATCATTGAGATTATTATTGTTATTATTAAATCTATAATATGTAAATGTTCTGGCTGTAGATTATGATATAAATGTAATATAAATTATTTTTTTGTGATATTACAATCTAACATATATTGATTATTGACAAATAGCGTATGTTGGAACGAGCTAAAGCCAGGAGAGAGAAACTGGATGAAAAGTTGTCAAATGCAGGACATAATGTTAAAAAAAGGCGGAGCCCTTTGAAAAATGCTTTGTTAGAACAAACTACAGGTAATATTTCCAGGATTTATTTTATAGCGTTTATATATAAAATTTTAATAGCCAGTTAAAAATATATTTGAAATAAATTAAAATAAAATCTGTAACTGTTAGCTTTTTGTTAAAAGAAATATCTTATCTTTAGCAGTAACAAATGAAAATTCAGCTAAATCACCAATCCAAGCAGTTGCAGTTAGTGCACTTTCTCCTACCAAATCTCCTATAAGGAATATCACTTCACCAAATAATGAACAAGAAAACAAGGAGAATAGTGATTTTCAAATTCATAATATGCGATCCAAGTTACACAGACTTGGAAAATTATATTCTGGTAAGCAACATTTCAAAATAAGATTGTACTGAACTTCAAATTAAAGTCCTCTTTTGCATGAATAGTATAAGCTTAAATATATTTTGAATCTCTCCGTTCGGTTACTCCCACACAATTCATACAGAGCACTCCCACATAAGCTGTTTCAAAACTTGTTTCTAATACTTGTTTATGTCTTAATACATATAGCATGTATACAACATACATAATCATGCTTTTTCGTTCTATTTTAAACTTTTTTGAAGAATTATATTACAATTTACATTAAAAAATGTTGTTATATTAAATTTTTTTATACGTCTAATGTAATATAAAAATTTTTTTTTTAAAATTTATTTGACATTTATATAAATTAATGTTTATTGATATTTATATAGATAAATTAATTATTTTTAATTTATATTTATGGATAACAAAAAGAATTAATATTTTTTCCTTTGATAGATGATAACAATCACGAATTAAGTTCACCTATACATCGAACAGAAGAAAAATTCACTGCAGAAGAAAGTAGCGACGATGGTAAACCAGTTAAGAGAGGTGCTAGACTTGATAGATTAGCAGCTTTAGCTTCAACAATTAATAATTGGGAGGATGATTTATCTCATCCAACTATAACTAGTTCCAAGGTATTTTGTAATACTTGACTTACAAGTCTTTCTTTTTCTTCTTACATTATGTACTCTGGGTTATGTTACATCTCTCTCATATGCTTGTGGTGCACACGCTGATTATTCCATTGCCACGAGCATATGGGACATACAATTTTAATTTGGTTTCGAATGATGGATTTTCTATGATATTTTTGTGGAATATTTTTGTGGACAAGGATACTTTGGGAGGTTGCCGATCTTTTCCGAGAGGAGATTTACACGAGCGTAAATATCTTCCTATCAGGATCGAACTTGAGATCTTTGGCATGATAAATCAGTGCACTCACGCTCATAATCATTTTTTTATTTTAATAAAATGATGTATTAAGTAATCTGCATATCTTGTATTATAATATACAAATTATTTTATAGATTAAACCTGGAAATAGTAAAGCAGAAAAAATACAAGCAAAGTTTAACGACCAAGTTAAAAATGGATTGGAGTCACAACCAAGCACAAGTGAAAGTAACAAATGGAAGAGCAAAGATTCAAGTCCTATCAAACAATTCAAATGGGATAAAAATGTATTAGAAAACTTGGTAAAAAACATATTATAATTTTATTCTTAAAAATGAAAGACTAAAGCTTCGTAAAAATTTCTATATTTATATACATATTTAAATACATATTTGTATTAAATATGTAAAGTGTTTAAATTAAATTTTTTATATTTTCATTCTCTACTGTTTTTATATCTTTGAAAGAAGAGAAGTAATGATTGAACGATCACATTTGGAGTTAAAAATATTTACAGGAGGCTCAAGGCTTTAGTCGTACAAAAAGCAATTCTCGTCTTGTGTATGACTATAAGCATTGTTCCCAGAAATCAAACGTTATCACAAGTTTATCACCTAATAAGAGCTCTGCTTACCAGCAGGCAGAGAAGAAACAAATTTTGCCTATTAAGTCTGACGATTCACCAAGAGGCAAGAAAACCGAAAGTGATGCCAATGTGATTGCAAGTCCAGTTAACTCTTCTAGAAGCAACGATAGTAAAGTTTCTAATACTCCTGAAAATATTAAAAATGCGAATACTACTAGCAGTTCTCGATTACCGTCGAGAACAGGATTTAACGGTTCGCCAAAAACTTTGGTCCAACCATCAGGTTCGGTGTTGAGTAAGGCATCGATATTTGAAGCTAAGAACACAGAGACGAAGGCAAAAGATCCCGCTCAAATGTCGCTTGCCGAAAGAATGGCGTTTTTCGAACGAAATAAGGGAGAAGCATTAATACCTAAGGCACCGCTTACAATGTCGATACCGCCTAAGAAGTTACAAGAAAAAGATAAGCAAGGATCTAATACGGGTATATATAGTTTTTAATTGTAAAAATATTTATAGAGATTTACAATATCTAACAATAATAATAATAATTATATATAATAATCAGGATTTTTATATTTCTTTAATTTTCAGAAAAAATAGTATTTGGATTAAATTTTACATAACAACTTATTAATTTTCCTTTAAAATGACTTATTATTTTTTTAAATTCTGCCATACACTTCCAGTATTTACTTAAACTCAGTATTTCATAATAGGGACTTTTCCTCTAATAATATTTCATTCTTTAGATTCATCTTCAATGAACAATCGAAACGTCGATATTCCAAGCAGAACAGTTCTGGAGCAACGTGCGATATTTGAACAAGGCAACAAAGTAGAAGAAATGGAAAATCGCATCTTACAAGCTACTTTTGTTGAGAGACAGCGTGAATTAGGAATGTTACGTTCCCGGTTTAATACTAATAAGGAGGTAGCTCGTGCCGCCGCTGGCTCTTGCATTCGAACGAGCGAAAGTAGCGAAGGCAAATCATCGTCGCCAAAGAATTCGCCTGTTTGTCCAGTGAAGCCAACTCCTGCCCCGGTAAGATTAAGTTATTTTATGCGTAAAAGAGTAGCACAAAATTTTTACTGTGTGATACGAATTATATATTTTATTTATTAAATATAGGATCAGATTGTTCAGCCGCCGCCGCCACCACCATTACCAGAAATTATATCATATCATTCTAAATCTTCTCCAGTAAAAAGGCAAGGTATATAAAAAGAACATTTTTCTTTCATTGCGCTTTTTCTGTTATAATATTTACCATTATGAGTTTCTTTTTAGTTGTTGGAAGCCCACCCAAAGTTCAACATTTAAATGCAACATCCGACATTAAACGTATCCGCGTGTGTCCACCAAAACCAGGCTCTCTGTATCCTAATCTGTCGGAAATAGAAATTACTGAAAGCGAAAGTGACTCGGAATATACTGTCGATAGTACCGAACCTGTAACAGCTACTTTCGATGAGAAAACAGAAACGGAAACTGAGACGGAAACTGAAGCCGATTATTATATCCAAGTAATATAAAAATAAATAATAAAAATTAAAAAATTTTTACATTTAATATATTAAAAACAAAAGCAAAAATCTTTTTACATTAATATATGTGAAAAGAAATATTTTATTCTTCTTCACTTCTTTACAGCATGATGAAACTGATCAAGAAAGTGATAAGGAAAGCGTACAAAATTCATCTTTTGGGCGTATGAGTTTTGGACGCAGTATTTTGCACGAGTTCGATGAACGTTCGTTATTTAACAAAAAGGTACAAAGATTTAATCTTAACGTAATACATATTATTAAATACATATTATTAAATACACATCAGATATACTTATGTGTTTTTTAATATTACAATTACAGAGATGCATAGAACCGGATCCTGATAGTATTACGTCAGACATTTCAGTATTGGATGAAATGGATCAATATTTGGATGAATGTCTTGATGAAGATATTTATCCAAATATTGATCCAATTCATCGAGAATTAAATGATGTGAAGGAGGAAGGTCCTACACCTCCTAAAATAAATAAAGGCGGTGAAAGTCCATCGATGGGGTGTAATAGTTACAAGTACAGTCATTCATACACGATTTTTATCGAAAATATGTTTCTTGCTTCATTTATTTTTTAAAAATTGTTTAAATAAAACTATTCTTAATTTCACAGATATCGTTCGCCTTTAAAAGATTCGGATAAACTAGAAGATGGTGACAAGCGCGTACCATTAGTACGCACGGTTAGTGCGTATAGACGACAACAATCTCAAGTAAGTTGTTCAATATCATAATTGATGAGACAAAGAATAATAACATTATTACTGAATTTCAGTTGGCTAAAATTAATTCAGCAAGACACGAAACAGGATCAGATTCAGTTTTTGATACAGAGAAACGCGAAGATGAGTCCATATTGGTGCAAATGAAAGTGAAAAAGTTATTGGATGAAGTTGTTGTAACACAACAGAAAAAGATAGAAGAAGCTAGCAAAGCTCTGAATTTGTGTCATTCTACTGTCGAATTTAACGGTTCTAGTGAGCACGTCGGAGGCGAATGGGCTCTGCTTGTCGCTAGTAAATTTTTATTTTTATATGATATGAGTTTTTTACATATAAATTAGATAATAATAAAATTGAATATTAATTTTAATGCATATAAAGTTTAAATATTGTTAAATGTGAAAAATGTCTATTTTTTATTTAGCTCACAAACGCCAAGCTGCATTGAATGAAGTACAGAGATTGAAACGAGAAGGCACTTTAAGACCTGTTAAGGCAGGCTCGCCGGAAGTGCAGGGGAGTGGATCATTAACTATTTCTGCTATTACGTTACCGCTCAAGCAAGAATATTTCCGAAATATGGGCATGAGTAAGTTACAATAGAGTCAAGTTTTACGTTATTTTTTTTATGTAAAACGGAACTATTGAAATAAGTATTAAATATAATAATCTTGCAATTTGTTGCAGATACATATCTTCATTGTGTCTGCTTGATGTATTATTTAGGGGAAGTTTTCGCTACTCAAGTAGCAACTGCTGAACCAGGCGATTCGTGCATCCGTTTTACTTCAATGTTGAAACTTGATAATTTGCACAGTGATTTCAAGATTCTTGTTGAAGTATATACCTTTCAGACGCAACCAAAATATTTGCCACATGAAAAAAAATATCATATCAGTCATACTGTAAAAGTAAGTCTCAAAGCAAGATCCTTCCTTGCTTTTCTCTTTATAAAATATTATAAATACAAGAACGGTTTGATTTAATGTTGAATCCATTTGTAGGCGGTCAATAAGACACCAAAGAAAAAGAATCAGTTTATAATGCCAGAAATACAGAGTCCAGCAGGTCCAAATGTAATCAGATCACCGGCTTTTGAATTGTCGGGGACAACATCCCTCACCCTCGATGATATAAATCGTGACCAACTTACTTTGCTCGGCGTACGTGTATTAATTCTCCAGTATAATCAAGATTCATAATGTTAGTATGTGTCTATTCTTCGCATACTTAATGTTCCTTTCCGTTCAGATCTCGTCACATTCTCCACTAGAAGGATATCTGCGAATGCGTATATCGCGTAAACTCTCGGTGTCAGTGGAGCATCGTGGATTTTTGACGCTCTTTGAAGAGATTACAAATTTGGGTGCTTGGCGTCGAAGATGGTGTTGGCTTAAAGATGCTAAGCTTTATTATTGGGTACATCCTGAGGACGAACACAAAAAAAGTCCAGTAGGACATCTCGATTTGGAGGGTAACTTTCGCCTAACATAATTTCTGCATTATATCTATATTAATTTAATTTTTGATTTAATATTATTGCTTTAATTTTTGTGATATTGCAGATGTCATTACAAAGCACGTACAATTTATAAATCGAGAGAAATATGCTCGTCCTTACACATTTCTACTCGAGATATCGAGACCTGTACAACCTGGAGATACTAATACTCTCATTATGAAGACAGATGGAAAGGAAACCATAATTGAGTATGTATAGTTATCTTCTAATTCTATTGCAATACAAAAATATGCTCTTGAATTAGAATATAATTTTTTTTTTAATCCTGTGTCTTCATAGGCATTTTTTATTAGCTGATACGAGAGAAAAAGGATTGGAATGGATGTCTAAATTGAATAAAACTCTAAGTTTAATTAGAGCTTGGGGAAGTTCAATTTACAAAGCTTAAATCAAGGTTAAACTTTAATTTCGAGCAACGTATTCATGTACGTATAGATCGATTTTTGATAGCAGACATGCATATGCATTCATATATGATGCATCACTCATCGAAACGTAGAATAAAATATAACTTTGTTTATAATACTTGTTTATAATACTTTACAAGAAAAAGAAAAATATATAAAGAAAGTAGCGAATATATACTACTTTTGGTCGCTTAAAAATTTTCATGTACGGTATTATTTGTGCTGCAAATAACTAATTGTTTTAATATAAATATTCGAATAAACCGATTTGATTTTTAATCGTGGACACATAATCTATACAAGGTTTCATTAAACTTTATAATAATTATTTTATTAAAAATCAGAACTTCAAAGCAAGCTTTCATGAAGTCTATCCATTTAATACTGAAGCATTTAATGTATATATACATGAGTATTGTGTATTAAATTTTCAGTGCATTTTCTCATATCTTTTGAAACTATGTAAAATTTATTTACATTTAACGACAAAAAGATCTTTTATTGCACTGGAAAGACTTTCAGCTTTATTGTAATCGTATTTCAGTATTATTCAATCGTATAGTTGCATAATTACATCTGCAACATGACGATTAACTTCTTGAACACTTGATCACGTATGTTTACCAAATAGCTATATAAATTTCAATATTCGACACTATTTCGATATAATACACATTAAAGAAATTGTACATAGGCTAATCATAGGAAATTAATTATTAATATTTACTGATGTAATTAAAAAATATTTATGTATGTAAAATTACTTATATACGAGCTTATATATTAATATAGTATATACTAACAATATTATTATATTAGCAAATATATATGTATTAATTAGCAATAATATAATACTAATGTATACAATCTGACTAATAATTATTATTACATCGAACTTAATACGCTGATATTTTTTTTAATGTGAGTTACTCTGAGTATGCATATTACAACTAACATTCTCCATCTTTTTGTAATGAATTAAATATATTTTTTTATACCGTAAAAATCTATTCTTATTCTTATCCTAAAATTCGTTGTAAACGGTCTGTATTTTCAGAGAGAAATCTGAGAATGATCTTTTTTGTGTATAAAATTCCGGCTTTTTTCATATATCAAATCTTGACCTTTTTTGTGTACCAAACCTCGTAAGGTAAGATCACGTTTTTATGATTCTTTTTCATGTCATTACGTGAGTTAGACAAAGATAATCAGAATCAAAATTGTTTATTCGTCCTTGTCTAACCATGTAATAGTGTGAAGAGAATCACAAAAAAAAAAACATAATTAAACTCTACGAGGTTTGATACACGAAAAAGATCGGGATGTCCACTCTCAGGTTTCTCTCTGATACTTCATTTTTCATATACCATAATTTATATACTTTCTCTGTTACATAAAATAAAAAAAATATATTTAATTCAGTATATTTAATTAGAAAAAACAAACTATTCTTTTTTATTCGTAATACCGAATCAAATTATGAAAAAAAGCTTTGTAGAACAAAGTTTATATAGAAAAAGTATCGATGGATCAGTTTTATATTACTACTCCCTCAGTATTTTCTATATGAGAACCTTATATCTACAAAGCTTTTATAGCATTATACAGAATGGAAAAGATTTTATTCTTCTTACGTTAGGCCTCTGGCTTGTGTTACACCTCTCTCGCTTATGATGCACACGCTGATTATTTTTCAATTGCCACAAGCATGGGACTTACAGTTTTAATGCCGGTTACGGCGGATTTTTCGAAAGATGTTTCTGTGAATAAAGATAGGGAAGTTGTCAGCCTTTTCCAAGAGGAGACAGGAGCATAAATATTTTGGAACTCTTCTACTGGAATCGAACCCGGGATCTGGCATGGTAGACCAGAACGCTGTCTGCCACACTTAGCAATAATATTATTAATACTAATAATTATATACAATCTGACTAATATAATTGCTAATCGAACTTGATACGCTTGAGATTTTTTTAACGTAAGTATTAACTAATATTCTCTACTTTTTTGTAATGAATTAAATGTATTTTTTTATATTATAAAAATTTATTCTTGTTTTCATCTTAAAATTCGTTATAAAAGATCTGTATTTTGCATCGAATTTCTGAGTAAAATTTATATGTTTAATAAAATAATATGTTTAATAAAACGATATATGGTATAAAATAATATAAAATAATATAAAATAATATAAAATATGATATAAAAAGTAAATATAAATATAAATATAAATATAAATCATAAATATAAATTTCTATCTTGAAATTTGGATGCGAACTACAGATTGGTAAAAGGCTTAATTGCATAGAAAACACGCGACATGGTACAGTCACAGGGAGGTTTCAGTATGTATACAAGTTTATTTGAACAAATTGTTTTCTGTTATAGATATAATATACATATATAGATTACGTGTATAAAAAAGAAAGAGGTTGCCAAGGAGAAACCGCGGATATCGCGATGTCTCAATGAGTGCTGCATTGTCGCCTCGCTATAAAGATAGAATTGTAAACAGAGGACGTCTCTCGTTCAAAATGTTTACTAGTAGTTTCGAAAAACTGTATAATACATGTTGCAAGTAAGCACGTGTTTCACTTGTGGAAGACTTCAATGCGTTTTGTAAGTCATGATGTTATGCGATATTCGTGAATATTTTTTTACGTTAATTGTAAGAGAAAATCGAAGAGAAAAAGAAATATTGAGCGAATTTTAATAATTTTGCTAATTCTACTCGTAATTTTATCTATACTATTTGCTGACGTGCTGCACTGTTCAAAGAATTACTCTTGATTTTGGAGCGAAGACGATACAAAAGTGTTAATAAATTAGTCCAATTGCGCGATCATTGTCGATTTTAAGAATTGCATCTCTCTCGCTTTATAAAATATCACAATTGATATCACGAAACGCATCGAAAGCGAATCGGTCAGAGAAGAACGATCGCGCGGAAGATCGATTCTCTAACTAGCGACTGACATCAACTCTTTGCCATTCGCATTGGTGTGAATCGCGTGCCTTGCAGTATCATACGATTAGAAATATCCTAATTCGTGTGTAATCACACGAGCGTGTATATCGACGACCTAAGATGATGTAACTTCGGTCCTCGAGTCCGCTTACTTTGCGACGAGATTGATAGTCGGATGGAATCCGTTTTCATCTGCGGTATAATCAACCCTGCAATTACAGAGAGGATGTTCAAAGAGCTACAACGTTCCTGAACGATGCAAACATTCAATATAAAGACATTACTTTGGAATTTGTAATCATTTTTGCAATCCTAAAGGCCACTTTAGACGATCCGTAATTCGTGTCAGGGTTCAGGATAGAATTCAATTTGTACTCGTAATTCTATGCCATGCAATACGAAAGATACTTGATGAAATCATAATTCACAAAAATTTAATATTTAATTATTAAAAACTTAAATAATCTATATAGTTCAAATTCATATCTTACATTTTTACAATCTTTGTTTATTTGCAAATAAACATGACAAAAAATTGTAAGAATGTAATAGTATATATGAATTTGAATTACATAAATTATTTAAGTTTTATCTAAGTTTTTAATAAATTAAATATTAAATATTAAATTTTTGTGGATTCTAGAGTGATTTAAATATATAGAATCAAGTATATAATAGATATATTATAATAGATATATTATAATAGATATATTCTTGACGTTTTGAAAGAATCTTCAATTTTAGAAGAATCAGAATACACACTTACACATGTAAGGAAGAATATAAAAATACATTTAAAAAAAAGAATATAAATTACAAATAAAATCCTATCCAATTATAGATCTAAGGTGATTTTGTTGTGATATCGCGTACCTATACGTGTGTCCGTCTGGCGCGATGAAACTGAAACTACCAATGACGCTGAGAGACTCGTTTTCGGTGCCCTCGTTCTTCAATTCTGCCGTCTCCTCCCTCTTCTGACCATCGCTCTGCTCATAACTGAAGTGATACCCACCTACCCCTATATTGTTCACCTCCTCCTGGTTCACGATTGTGATATCGTTTGGATTAGATTGCGGCGCCGCGAAAACGCCGGCTATGAGTGCCAGAATGACGAACACCTGTGTGACGAAGAGAAGCAAGAAGATCATTTCGTTGAAGAAGACAAGAATGAGATCGTTCTTCTTTATGGCGTTGACTTCTATTAAATTAATCAGATGTCTTTTATTGTGATCATGCATATTTAAATTTGTTTTATCGCAAGATATCCCTTGTTAAGAAATTTATATTGAAAGATAGTGATTTGAATTACTTATTTTGAGTATTAAAAATTGTTCAATATGATTGTTTAATACTTTTGATATTCAATATAAATAATTTCTTATCTTAAATTGGCCAGTATTAGATTGGATTTCTTCAAATCCATAATTAATGTTAGGATAAACATTTTGTTTAAATGAATTATTGATAATGGATCTTTGCGAGGAACATGCGGTAGCTGTTGAAAATTCAATCTTTTCTCGAAACCTGACCTTTCGACGATCAGTATTAGATCAGTATTATTACGAATTTAAACCGAGATATATCATTTGCACAGCGAACAGAAAAACAATGTTGACTTCTTTGGATATATACAAAGTGTCGCAGATCTCAATAATTTCGATTACCTAGAAATAATTGTTTATTAAATGATCAATAATTTCGATTACAAAAACGATTGCTTATTGAATCATCCTAAGTTTTTTCGAGTTGTGTAATATCATAAAATGAAAGTTTCTCGTGAACTAGATGGAATAAGTAAATGTAAATTCTACCACTACCACTTAAAACTTGAAATTTTAGAATTTCAATTTAAGATCTTTTTTTAATTAATACTTGGATATTAAAAATTTGTCATCAGATTCTCCTGAAAAAAAAGACATGTACTCCGAATTGATTATCGAAATTGTTGCCTTTCCGTGACACCCTGTAGATGTTCTCCGTAGCGAATGGAGAGTATAATTTCACGCGCGCACAAATGTCACAAAATCCTCTTCACTTTCACTGTTGCGTAAAAATTGGGTGGCTGAGTC